CAGATTTGTTTTTGTTGAGTTGACTTTGACTGCTTTCACTTGTCAATGGATTCTACGGAATATCTTAAAAGTTGTCCTTGGATTCCATGGATTCCAATGGCAACTCCATGGACAATTTTGAAATACGTCCGTCAACTAAACGATAAACTTGTTTTCGTAAGTGAACTTTTAAGGACGCTCGTAAGTTGAATTATAAGTCAGTTCGTAAAACATCCTCTAAGAACAGTGGCTAATAGAAATTAGTACAAGAAAATCAAAAATGGAACTATACCTGCGAAAAAGAATACACTTGTTGTAGATTGGCATTTATATCAGGGATAGCTGGAAAACTGAAAACTAAGCACGTAGATTTGATACCACCGAACTCGTACATTTTGTAGTTCTGATGATCTCAGTAAAAAAACGGCTGCCATTAGACATGAAACCAGATTCTCTCTGAAGGAAACGTTCTCTCTGGTTTGCATATGTCTGAAAAATAGTTCATATTGGTGGCAACTGCACGCTGAATCAATCGAGTGACTGGTACAAAATTGTAATCGACACCTAGAATGAGATATGTCTTTGGTATGTTATTTATTAGGGCATTAATATTTCCTGTCAGATTTGAAAACGCCAGCCGGTATCGGAGGTCTTCCGTGGAAACACATTTTGCAACAAAAATTGATTGAAAAACAGGATCAAATTTGGGTGCTTCTTTTTTCGCGATCGGTATAAGTTCAGGTTCATTGAATCTTTCGTTATTATGTCGATTAAACCAAACAGACTTATGTTCCGACGCTGAGTGAACCAGAAACATGGTCCTAAAAATAATGTGATCTTTTCCTGGTAATCCTGTGATTGATGGCTCTTTTCCTTTTTTGAGGATACCCTATTTTTTCAGTTAGATGGCTACCTCGATCTCTTCATTCAGAGTTTCCTTAAAATTAGCGTCACCGCCGAGTTCAAAAGATGTCTCCGGGCAGATACTGTGGAGCTCTGGTGGGCCATCCTTCTTTTGGTTGTCATACTGGTTTTCCTCTTGGTCGGTATCACTATCATAACGCAGGAATGGATTGTAGTCAGGGGGTAATTAATTAGAAAAAAGTGGGGAATTAATTCTTTCCTCGTTCATTCCAAGGGAAGTCTTTAAAACCTCGTTTTTTCATCTGCTGCAGTGAATGAGTAGCTGCACCCACACATTCCATCCCATACCTTCGATCGAACCCAATAACCTTCCTTCGAACACTAGTTCTTCCGACACTCATGCTACTCCACTTCTCTTACCACTATGCGTCACCTTTGAAGTTACTCCCAGCCCTAATACCGATGACGAACTCGAGCATGACTTAGACAATTTCATCCAACAGCAACAAATAGTCCACAATGTGAACACACTAGTAAACAATCACCGATTAACACACACCGCTTTTCCCTCCGATAACACTTCGGGTACAGATACTCCAACCAGAGCAGCAAGTATCCTCAAAAAACGCAGAAATCTATCAAACAGATATTTGCAAAACCGACCATCTAAAAAATCTTCCTAGATGTTTACAGAAGCATCGATCTATATCACGACTCACACGAAGTAATCATCCAAACCACACTAAAACGCAAGAATAATTGCTTTACTCCATCCCATACTTTCAACAATATTGCTTTTTTAACAGAGAACCGCAAGGTCATCGCATCTTTTATGTGAAAGGAAAGAGCTTAATTCCCACACTTCCATGTTTTTGTTTTTACAATTTTACTAACCCTTTTAGAATTCCTGCTAAATAATCCTATAATGAAGATGTACACGCTACACTCATTCACCAACTCAAACTCACCTGAACAGTCAACCTCGTTGACTTACCCAATGTCACTGTATCACAAACTTTTAGACGCATTGAACAAAAATCTAACTAATTGCCCATCGCAATGATATCAACGTTCACAGATACATGGAAAACCCACAACATAATGCTGATCCCTAAGTCAACCCACAGTTAACCGTCAATGTTTTTGTCAAAAACAGACTAGTTCTTTGATCTCCATAGCATTAACAAAAAAGAGGATCCTTGACAACACACTGAAAAAGCTAAAGGGCTATGAATCTTACTTTTGTCGTTATGATAATTTCTAAATAAACTTTATTTTTTAGCGCCAAAGGAACGAGATGAGATTTTTACCTACAAACTAATGTTATAAACAAAAGAAACACATGCTTACACTTACTACTGTTCTATTCAAAGATAATTCACACAACATTCATCATCATAAAAAGAACAGACCTGCTCGGAAATCTCCTTATTTATCTATCGATAAACCTATAAATCTCCGTCAAACGTCTATTTTGTACAAAATGACAAAATGTGATTAACCAATTTTGTCCACAAAACTAGACCCAGGGCCATCCCATATGAAAATATCCAACCAATACTAGAAAGTTTTTATGGCTTGAAACTTAACCAAAAGATTTAGAAGCTAGTAGATCACACTCATTGCAAAATGGGAGTTAACTTCTGGCAGTATATTAAGTTATGATCAATACAATTTTTAATTAGGTAGTTTTCATTAGTTTTGTTTCAAAAAATTGTAATATAATGCAATAAGTTATACAATTGATTAATGATTTACTCGTAAACTAACTTTTCACGTGTGAAATTTTTTACTTCTCAATTCGTCCCCAGCTCGTCTCTTTTTGAATAAACCGTTTAAAATTCTGTTTAACTTCGCTTGACATTTGTAGTATTGAAAAAAATTTTCAAATTCCGCTAACCACTGATAACAACTCCAAAAGCTTGCACAGCTAGCAAACTTTTTCTAAAGCTTAAGTAATCAACGCAGTTTTGTACACAACCATGCTACCACCGCACTACCAACATGTACAGGAAAGTTTCGCTCCTCTTAAACCAGATCAAACTGAAAATGGAAATCTTTTGAAACATAAAACTGATTTACAGTTCAAGAACACAGTACGCCCCAGAATAACACTAATCCTCAGACCTTAGTTTGCCTTAGTAACTCAAATCACGGGTATGCAACTTTAGAAGACCACAGATTAGCACGGAAAAAATATTTTAAACAAATGGACACAACCACAAAAAATAACTGACAAAAAACACCAGGTGTAAGGGAAAGAAAACACTAAAATCAAAAGAACCTTTTACTCGAGAAACCATTCCCAAGTTAATCCCATATCTGTCCTAATCCACCAGTAGGATTTCCTGAGCATGTTCGATAGGCAGACTCATCAATCGAGCCGAACCTTGCTTAGGACACCGCACTCTATATTTGCTGAGAGTCGCTCTAGTGTGAGCAACTTTTAAAAATAACCAAACTAAGATAAAACTTCTGCAAAAACTACTAACTATTACATAACTAAGACTAAAATTAATGAAGAGCAGAGCTAAACGCGTATAAAAAACTGCACAGAGTATATTTCACGAGCAGCAAAAGAGAGATGATGATTCGACGACATTCCGACTTCGTAATAGCAAATCTATATGTTTTGCTTGCAGCAGTCTCAGCCTTCTCTGGATATAAATTCTGGAGATGACAAAGAATTTCTATGAAAGAGTTGCTATGAAATAGAAAAAAAATCATCCCGATGTCAAACTCCACATACGTGTCCTTTTCACTTAACACTTCTCTCAGAGAAGTCAATCCTTTATCTCGCTACTCGGTCAACGCAATCACTTCGATCTCTCTGGAATTATGATAATCCCTCGTAATCATATGTATTTCGCAGGCACAGGCAAGAGTTGCTTGTCGCTCCCAACAACTCTCGCAAGAGCTCAGAAAACACTCTCGTACAAAAAAGACTCACAATTAAAAAAAAATTCTTCAGACCCTGCATGGGTGGAACTAGGTTAAAACGAGTTGTTCGCGTTATATTTGAAAAAACTACGCTGTTAAAGATTCGTAACCAACCAATCAGGGCTACATCTTACTATACTCGTAAACCTAATATCCTAGGTGCTCAGAGAACTAAGAATAAATACTGAAATCAGTTGCTTTCCTCTCTCCTCTAACTTCGCAGTAAACCAGAATATCGCTAGATTTATTAAAACTAGGAAAAGTAAGAGTGAAATTAGGATTGGTATTAGACTAACAAGTTGCACGAAAATATCCGGCCGAAAATAGATAGCGTGGCGAACAGATTTAACAGACTGAAGTTGTGTTTAATTAAAATTTTTGGAAAAGTTTGGAAAATCTTAAGAACGGCATATCTGGAAAACTGTAAGCTTTTTTTGCAGCCGTATTCGGAGTTAAGATGTGAGTACACTGACATCACCTATGTTGGGTGTTGAGATTTTAAACTTGTTTGTGAATTTTACTAAATCTAATCCAAATCTTTTTGAATTTTTCTCAAAAAATTGTACAACACATTATAATTCGGAAAATGAAAATATTTAGCCATTCTTACTGCCTTCCTTCTCCCCTAACATGCTTGCATGTTGGAAAGCCTTACATGCGAAGCTTTCCATGGGCCCATTATTCATAAACTGAAAAACCGACACAGGCGAAGCGGACCTTGGCAACACTTGTGGTAAAACACAATCATAAAAAAGCACAAATCGAATAAAAAATGAAAAATGTAGAATAAAACTAGTTGAACCAAAATATTCGTATGTACCCTATCCGAAATTAATCTATGAGAAGGCCACCCTGGACTTTAACTCAGCATGGAGGTTAAGCACCACGCACCAACCCTGCTGATTACAGCCTCGTATGAAAAACGTGCAGTCAGTGATTGTGAAATACAAACGTTTGTTTGCGACAACAACCTCACATTGAATATTTTAAATTCACTTTTTAACATCAAATTATCTGTCTAAACATCAACTTGCTGAATCGAGGATTTATCAAAGATTTCCCATATTTGGTCTTAGTTTTTATTATTAGATTCGCCAGGCAAACACCCCCCCCCCCCCATTTCGACTATTGAACTCTAACATGTGGCTGAATTGATTGCTACCTTGTCCAATTATTTGAAAAAAATTTGGTATGCTAAATAATTAGGCTATGAATGAAAAGTCACAAAACCTATGATAATATGACCTAGAAGTAGGAGGGGGAGGAGGGGAGGGGGGAGAATTGAAGAAAGAGCCCAATTTTGTTCAGTTTTATTTCCTGGACGAGCCGGCGTTGAATGATCTTCTGTAAGTGGTGGCAAAATTAGGCGGCCGGGACTTTCCCGAACTCTTTTGTTTCAAAGCCTCCAGTCTCCCACTCTTCATATTTCCCTCTTGGCCCAAATTGCCCACAGTTCTAGCTGTGATCATCGCCTGAACAAAAAATAAACATAAAAGCAATTTTCAAAAAAAAACACTTTTAAGTAAAAGATCATATTATTGAAGTTTTGCTCCGACTATTGAAGAAAGTGGCAAATTGAAGCAAGTGGCCGGGGTGGTTTTTTGTCAGACTAACTTCTAATTTTCAACCAGTTTTTTTCGACAGGAACTCTTTAGGAGTCTTGAGCTCAAACTAAAAAAAAATTGAAATAGTAATCAATATAATCTTGAACGCTTCTCGACAATTTCTCGTTCAGAGGCAGTTGGGACATTTAGGTCGCCGCGCTAAGGCGAGGTGGTTTATACGGCGAGGAGACAATTCGTCATGGCGAGGAGACAATTCGTCATGGCGAGGAGACAATTCGTCGAAGCAAAAACTGGTAAAAATAAGAAAAAAGCCACGATTTGCACCCAGTGACAATTACTACCTTACCTGGCGCTGGTTGTGCTACGCGCGTGTCGGCGCTGAAGATTTCGTGTCTCGGTTCCGGCAAGGACGCAATTTGTATCATCACCAGTTGAGCTTTTTAATCTGTCGGTGGCTCAGTTTGTCGGTTTTTCGAAAAAGTGAAAACTGTCGCTTCCTATTGGTTGTCGCCCAACGGAACTTTAACTTGAGGCAGACAAAATTGGCATCAAAACAATTCTGATGAAACAAATTTCCCTCATATTTCCTCATCATAGAGGTTATTCCGGGTTGTTATCAAACGTTTTCAGCAGCATACCTCTAAATTGTCTAGTAATTCAACTGAAAATTTAAAGAATACGAAGTATATTGAGCAAAACTTATTTTCCAACAACAAACGCAAAGTTTTAAAAAAGTCTAGCCCAATGGCAGTCATAGAAATGAAGTTTGTGCGTTTGAGTTTGTGTTCATCAAAAAAACCGAACGAGCAGAAATAGCAAAAAAAAATTTTTTTGTGTAAACGCATTCCAGGCTGAATAATTTATATATGTCAACCATCGTTGGCAGGAAAATTTTTGAATAAAAAACAGTTTTTTAAACAAGTTTACATAGTTTAATAAACTATAACCTCCAAAAAACGGGCTCCTAATTTCAACCACTAACCTTTTTTCATGAAAAACTCTGAAGCAGATACGATAATTTTCGCTTTTAAGTAAGTAGTAATATTGTATCTTGCTGGAAAACTTGAAAAAAAAAAACATTCTCTTAAACTTTATTACCATTTTATCAGTGGGCTTTCATAATTGAGAAAGTTTACGATACTGTGTACTCATTCAAAGCACAAAATTTAGATTTGACAGCAAAAAAAAATCCATTTCTGATTTATAATAAACTCTATTCATGCATTTTTTTTTTATAGGAAAACAGTCATAGAAAAAAATAAATTTTCATATACTACTTTTACGTGCGGAACTAATTGAAACCATTTGAAAGGAGGTATTTCATCTATGAGCGCTTATGAAAAAATATTTGGTCAAAATGATGGTAAGATGACACAAGACGTAATATGTTAATTTACAACAAAAACTAGTTCGCTCTGATCTCTTCGAATACAAAAAAAAAGATCTACATTAGCGACAAAAATCTGATTCCCGTGCATAATTTTGTTTTGTCAATTGTGAGCGGAGCGGATCAAACCGTCTCTTTTTGAACACGCCGCGTTTTAAACTGACTTTCGAATGATGTGAGTGTTCGCTTTCCTTTAATCTTGCGATTTGTCGATTTTGGTGAGCTCTTTTTTAATGCGAGTGGTCACGTTACTGAAACCAAATCTTTCAAACACACCGTTCTGACCTCCATGCAACAAAAATACTTGTCATACAATTCCATGCATGGGCACAATCAAAAAAATTTAGTATACTACTACCTTTTATAAAATGTAGTGTTTCACAATAATTGGTTTGTACAAAAATTTCAAAAATGAGAAATCATTGAAGTAGTTCTCATTTTAGTCGCTAAACGAGCATTATTAAATTTTCCAATTATTTTTTTTGCATGCAAAGTTTTCAAGTTTTTGCTTCTAACGTAGTCAACGCACAAAAACTTTTTATATTAAAGAATTAAAGGTCACATTGAAGATTCTCTGTGATAGCACAATATGTTCTTTTCATTTTTAGCCAAAGAATACAACCTAAATCAGTCCAATAACAGGCCGCAATTTTCAACATATAAATTTTTTGAAACAAAGGCCTCAGCTGTTGTTGTTATAGTTTTGAGTGAAATTCAGTTTAGATCTGACTTGGCATTCAGCAATACATAGTTTTATCTGCAACGTCAATGCCGTTTCACCTGTTGGTTTTGTCATTTGAGAAAAAGTTTTGCTTTTTGGGTTCATGTCGAGACACAAATATAAAGCAAAAAACATTAAAACTACATGGAAAAAAAGCTTGTCATACAAATCCGTAGTGTGAAAAAATGCTTATAAAATATTTCCTTTGTATAAAAAACTGCTTATCATGTAGTTCACGTTCAAATTTTCTATTCTTTGGACTTTGTGATATTCCTATGCTATGGGTGTTAGTTAGTAATAAAACAGAAGAGTAATAAATTGTAATTTAACTCTTTGTGAAACTTGGTTTTTGTTTAGAGATCATGTTTATCTTTTCATATGTCTCTTCAGATAGCAAACGTCCAAATGACTGTTGCGTTCGGCCTGCATGAATGGTCTTGAATAATAATAACAATACATAACAGAATATTAATACCACTTATTCTCCAAGGTTACTGTGGCAATACCTCTAAAAGGGAAAGTTGTATCGGAGACACCATCGACGGTAAAAACGGCTGCTGGTGCAGTTTATCGGAAGAGCGACATAGCGAGATCAAAACTGCCTGTACAGTCCAGAATAGAAGGTTCGGAGAAAAAGAGAAGCCCAACAGGGGAAGAACCAAGAAGTAAACAACAAAAGACAGTAACACAGGATGAAGACGTTGACAGTGAGTCGGCCGAAGAACATGACGTAAAAGATCAGGGGCCAAGAGACCAAGAAATAGAAGATAGTTGGTTGGTGGACAAGTTTCAAAATTCGCCTAGCATAGTAACGTCGAAAGATACAAAAACGGGCGGGGGCATTAACCTAGGAGGGAAAAGGAATAAGCCAAATCGAGCGGGACCGTTAGTACATAACCCGAGAAGCTATCAGAGCAAGTCCACAACGCAAGAACCGAGGAAACCAAAAGCAGCCAAAACAGCAACAAAAGAATCCAAAAAACGGGTTACAAGCAATGAAGAAGGCTACATTGAGTCGTCTGCTCCTAAGGAAGCATCAGTGAGTAAACCCAATATTCGACAAACCGACGAAAAGGAAATTCTGGACACATTCCAGAATAAGAATATGACATCAAAAGAATGGGAGGCACTCACAAATCAGGTCTTGACCAGAGGGGTGCAAAAAGAAGCGGAAAAATCACTAACTCAACAAGCAGGACCAGTCGATACTTGTCCCCCACCAGGGTTTTCTGACGAGTCGGACAAAGAAGAGGAGGAAACGACAGTTAGGAGGAGTAATAGGCAAACGAAGAACCAGGGGCCAAAGAGATATGGTAGCCCAGTATCCCATATGGTCAAACTTATTAGTTGTGAGGACGACGTCACCGAGATAAATTTGGCAGCACTAGAGGACTACAGAACGAGATTAGCGAATTTAAATCTCAACAACAAAGAAACAACGCTGGAAAACAACACGTTCAACCTATTAGAGAGACACCTATTCAAACGGAAATTTGGGGCTACATCGTTGGACGTTTCTGGGTCGTGGAATGCTGCGAGAAACAAAGCGGAAGTAAAGAAAAATAACAAAAGAAACTGAGTCAAACACGAAAACAACTTAGTAAACTGAGATACAAACTCATATATTGATTATAAAAATTTATAAGGTATTATATAAAATTTTGTTGTCCTCAGGGGAATGTGGTACTGTGTAGTACTGTTGCCACAGTAACCTTGGAGAATAAGTGGTATTAATATTCTGTTATGTATTGTTATTATTATTCAAGACCATTCATGCAGGCCGAACGCAACAGTCATTTGGACGTTTGCTATCTGAAGAGACATATGAAAAGATAAACATGATCTCTAAACAAAAACCAAGTTTCACAAAGAGTTAAATTACAATTTATTACTCTTCTGTTTTATTACTAACTAACACCCATAGCATAGGAATATCACAAAGTCCAAAGAATAGAAAATTTGAACGTGAACTACATGATAAGCAGTTTTTTATACAAAGGAAATATTTTATAAGCATTTTTTCACACTACGGATTTGTATGACAAGCTTTTTTTCCATGTAGTTTTAATGTTTTTTGCTTTATATTTGTGTCTCGACATGAACCCAAAAAGCAAAACTTTTTCTCAAATGACAAAACCAACAGGTGAAACGGCATTGACGTTGCAGATAAAACTATGTATTGCTGAATGCCAAGTCAGATCTAAACTGAATTTCACTCAAAACTATAACAACAACAGCTGAGGCCTTTGTTTCAAAAAATTTATATGTTGAAAATTGCGGCCTGTTTTTGGACTGATTTAGGTTATATTCTTGGCTAAAAATGAAAAGAACATATTGTGCTATCACAGAGAATCTTCAATGTGACCTTTAATTCTTTAATAAATAAAGTGTTTGTGCGTTGACTACGTTAGAAGCAAAAACTTGAAAACTTTGCATGCAAAAAAAAATAATTGAAAAATTTCCTAATGCTCGTTTAGCGACTAAAATGAGAACAACTTGAATTTTTTATCATTTTTGAAATTTTTGTACAAACCAATTATTATGAAACACTAATTTTTATAAAAGGTAATAGAATAATAAACTTTTATTGATCATACCCATGCATTGAATTGTACGACAAGCATTTTTTTGCATGGAGGCCAGCACGGTGTGTTTGAAAGATTTGGTTTCAAAAGAACAACAAACCGATCATCTAACACTCCTAATCTCTAAATTACCCAGACAAACCTCAATATCTGCCGGTACTTGTGGCGACGGCGGACCCTTCCCCCTCTTTGATATCTGGTCAATGTCCCCGCCCCCGTCGGCACTCGCTCCTAGAGTAAAAAATAAGAAATATACTTCCCTTTCTGCAAACTTCACAAGAAATTTTTCCAAAATTGAGCGACAACTTGGATTTTTTTTCTATATAAACTTTCATAACATTTTTTGAGGCTAAAGTAAGAACAAAACAACAATGAATAATTTTTCATGTTTCAACCTATTTGCGATTCAAATTTATTTACAACAGTAGCTGTGTAGCTGTTGTGAATATTACTTTCAGAAAAAGACTGCTTCGACTTACCTGCTCCCCCTCGGGGTCTCGCTGTGGAACTGTCTGCTCTAACTATTTGTGGGTTGCATAGATCGTCGAATGCGGCCAAGTAGTGTTTTCCATCATAAGGAATGAACTTCAATCTGATTTTAGAAAAAAAAAAACAGGGATCGCGGTTTTTTTATTTAAAATTAAGTTTAAATGAATTAAGTTACCCGAATAAATATAAAGGTATCTAAAATTTATTTTGATATGTTCGAGGAGCTTAGTTGAAACTTAGACTTACATGATATTTCTTTTTATTTGAAAACCTTAAGATGACATAAGTTTAAAAACTTTCTAATGTACTGAGATAACTTGTCTTGAAACTATCATTTATTTGGTCTATCTTTTTGAAAATCGTGTTTAAGATGTTTTTTTTCTTCGAAGTATTCAATCTTAAGTTTTACAGATTTCAGAAAAAAATCGGAGTTTTAACAAAACGTCCGAACTTTTTCACAAAACATTCTATTGATTGATCGTTTATGCTTAATGAACATTTTTTTTATATCCGCAGTCCCTGCCTGTTCTCTGATTGGCTGTCAAAGGGTGCTGGGATTGTAGCCACATACTGTGGCCGAAATGACAACCTAGCCGACTTGTAAGCTTCACTGTCGTACTCTTTCAGGTCGGATTTGTGGGTGGTGTCTCTGGCAAATCCAACGTCTGGCTCCATGAACGGGATTTCTTTCTTCATCAGGGTTCGCCTCGATTCTCCAAAATGGGGCAAAAAGCTCCCTGAAAAAAAACAGAATAGCCAAAAAAAGTACTAAATTTTCTTCTTTGTCTTTGGATTCCAGTTCATAAAACCACCGCTCAAAACCCCGATAATCAAAAGACAAAGTACAAGTTTTGGTTATAGTTCAGGGAACGAATGAAAATGTATTTTTTTGTTTTAATTTTATTGTAACATGAAGTTACTCAGTTTTGTAACCCGCATTTGGTACTCTAAATCTCAAACGTTGAGAACAACTATGAAATTAAACGTAGAGAATAACTATGAAGTAGGGGTAGAAACATCTAGCTTAATTAAGTAGTCCGATTTTCGATTCATTGAGTGTAGTGTGTGGGGGGGGAGGGGGGATTTTGGGGAGACGACCGTCGGTACTTCACTCTATGTTACGTATTCATCTATAGATATATTTTGTTAAGTAGTGCAATAAGTTATTCAAGGACACTTATCACCAGTCCAAATCTTAGTCATTTTAATTTTCATTCTTAGTCATCTTGGTTTGATTTTTTTATTTTGGTTCTTTACTTTCATATGTCGTCGTAGTATCCCCGTACACCTTCTCTGGCTTATCAATCCAGTGGTCGGCTCTGTTCGGAATGGCCTGTCGTTTCTGGTAAGCCAGTATCTTCGGGTAAGTGTCTTTGTAAGTGGATACTCTCTGAGTTCCCGGAGGTTCTGGTCCGAACTGGAGGGACTGGATTGGTCTGTGAACTGGAGGCTTGGCTGTATCCAGGGTGATGAAATCTTCCCTGGAAAAGGAAGTGTCAGAGTTTTTGGCTTTTCCGTTTTCTTTTATGATTTCAATTTCTTTCTCAAAATTTCTCCCCTCAATCATATTAACCTTTTTGTAAATCTTTTGTAAACAAGTTCATGCACCAAACTTTTCATGTTATGGGAGCTTAAAAATACTCATAGAGAAGGAAATCTCGAAGTTAGAAAACAGGAAAGACTTTTTTGAGTGAGAATTTTATGTGATAATTTTTTGTTTTTGTTGGGGGGGGGGGGGTTTGGTTGCTCATTTAAAAAAAAAATTCTTTTTTTTTTAGGTCGACCAAATTGATATCCGAGCTCTGCCAAAGCACTAAAAAGACCCTGTTTTAGACAAAATTTATGCGTCGCAGGCAAAACGTTGAAAAAATAGGCCAAAAAATGCTTTTTCTAAAGATTTTGACCAAAAAAATCGCGCGCTCCCCCTTCAAAAAATATATATTGGCGGTTAATGCGCCTTTAGATATGGACAGGATACGCCATTCTTGACAAAAGATAACAAACCCCCTCCCCCCTGCTTTCGGAAGAGGTGGGGGATATACACTCGTCGATAATTTTAAATTTTGTACTCTATCGTCATTTTTCACTCTCCCTTTCAAAAAAATCCATTTTGTTGTTTTGCGTGTAATTATGGCTAAACGCGTAAATTTACGATAAGCGGATTGCACAACAAACTGTTCACAAAAGATAGTTTGTTCACTATGCCAAATTTCATCGCATTACGATATAACTTTGAAAATATTTTTGAAATTTGAAACTCAAAGGTGGGGGGGGGGGGGGGGGAGGGGAGTGGAAAACAGTCGTAGCTTCTTGTTTCCTACTTGTAAACAGATGGCTTCTGGTCGAATTCTCCGATCTGTGGGGCAATCTGGCCGGTCGGCATGATCGGTTCCATCTTCCTGTACCTCCCCACCCTCTGCAGGTACTTTTCGGTGTATTCTGTCTTCGGGTTGTGGTACTTTGCTTCCTCCCCCCACCTGATGGGGTCACGTGGTTCCACTATCCTATAGGGCCTAAAAATAATTTAAAATTTTCAGGATCTATAAATTTACAATTGAATCATCAGTAATGTTCTCGCCAGAATTCAAAGCGAGAAAAAACGAAGGTCGTGACTAATGAATTTTCTGCTGAACGATGCACCGTGTGTGAAAAAAGACAAAAAACTGAAAAATCGAAACGAAGTTCACAAATTTCACAAATTTCTGTTTTGAAGTTGATTTTTTAATGTTTTCATTTTGCTTATTTCATGAAATTGAATTCTGCTTTTAAATACGAAATTTATGGCAGTTCGTTATTCTTTGTTGACTCGTAATTTCCGATAATTACGGTTAATTTACGTATGAAATGAAATGTTGTCATTCAACCAGCTACCCGAAACCGATCTGCCTCAGAACCGAAACGAGGCAGAAATGAAGTAACGTTATTTATATCTAATTAAAGCTAGGATAAATAATGGAACACATCCAAAAAAACGATTACTCTTGCATTTCCCATTTCTCGTTGAAAAAAAATCTGCTTCTCCTGACAATTCGGAGATTTTCTGTGGAGAGGTTATCAAACCAAACAGAAATTTTTAGTTAACTAGAACAGCTTTTATAGTTAAAACTAAATAATAGGAAGGGATCTTTTCGGTTAACGAAACTAAACGAGTTTAATTGTTACCTAAGAGCGCTCGTTTTGACGTGGTAAATCAGTTTTTTTTACTAAACTAAGTGCTGAAAGTTTTGAAAAAAAAATCAATCAAAAATTTATTTGAAAATTTCAAAAAACCACTTTCTTTTCACGCAAAAACTAAATCTCATTTGAGGTCAAAACAGAGAGAAAACTTTGATGATTTTGACGTGAGAATTTTTGATACTGTCAACACAATTCTTACCTTATCACTCTGATATTTGGGGGCGCTCCTCCAATATCCTCTTGTTTCATAATAGAGGCAACCTCCGCCATTGTGATTGAAACCAAACTAAGACCAAAATCAAGTTTAAAAAGCTCGAAAAATCCAAATCATGTATACAATTTAATATAATTATGTCTTATAAAAAGACGTGCTTATCAAATCATAAACTTCATTATTGTCAGAAAAAAGTAATAACCAAGAACGGTAAAAACAGTAGATCAGTACAAAAAAGTAATATTAGTTTTTGCTCAAAACATCTCGTGCGTTTTTATTTTTTTTTCGAATAAGTATTGCTTTTTTTGATAGAAAAAATGATACGTAGTACTCTGCTAGTTGCTGTCTCTGATAATCTGGCTTTTTCAGTTACGACTTTTTTCTATACTTTACGAAATATTTCCTATTTGATTGTAATTCAAACCTTTTGTTTAAATCTTTTTTTTGTATTTAATCTTATTGAACGCTCCCTTTATTACTTAATACGGTTTATTTTATACAGCCGCTGAACGGAAAATTATCAGATCAATTTTTCCACTTGTTTTTTTTAATCATCGTTTCCAATTCATTGATGGGCCATAACATAAGTTTGATCTTCCAAATAGATTTCTTGGAACATTTACCTTTTTTGGGTTACAGAAGCGTTCAGAGCAGAAAATTAATTTAAAACTTTTTTATTAAATTGCAAGATGGTTGATCGATTTTTTTTCGGTCAAACAAGGTGGTTTGTTCCAGTCGGGCAAGAAATAGCCAGGTTTGATGGTAGATACCTGAAGATCGGGGTTTTGTTTTTGATAATGGTGACTGGGCTAATTTTAGATTATAAAAAACTAGGATGAAGCTCTTTTTGAATTTAATTTGTTCAACTGCGACAACTGTAAATATTCAATTTTAATGTCCAACTCTTTTACCACAATGTCAAAAATCAATTCAATTTATTCAACCAGTCTAATCTTGTCGATCTACTGCTTCCAAGCATACCATACTAGCTGTTTTTCTTCTTAACTCTGATATATTGCTCTAGTTACTCTGAAATTTAACTCATCTCAGTCAACAAATTACTCTACTCAAAGAGTTTGCTGTAGCAAACACATGAGATATTTTTGTTTTCATTAAAACATCAACTGCCCAAATTGATTTTTCTATTTTCTTTGCCTAAATTATTGTCAGAAAGTCAGCCTTAAATTTGTTGCTTGTCAGAAACATCAGTCGACAGGCAGCATTGCTTTTTGATAAGTCTCAAGTGATTAAGTAATAATGCACGAAGAGAAGTTATGTTTGTACTTAACACTCGGAAGGAAATTTTTTAAAATTTATTTATTATAAGCTGTTACTTTCGCGCAGTAACAGCTTAGAATCATTTCGCTTTGTTCTGGAAAAAAATCTCGACATAGTGGTATTCGAATTTTATCTGTAGGTGTCTTTTGGCCCTAGAGCATTTGGTCCGCTTACATAAACCACTCTATTCGGAGGGCGAAGTTGAAATATTATCATTGATCAACAGATAAAGCTTAAGACATTCGAAAACGGCACAGTTTTAAAATCAATCAGCTTAGTAAAAAAATTAGTATCAGGGATTCTGTGCGGTATCACATGGGGCGCTTAACCCAATCTGTTTACGTGTTCTATTTTGTTGCCTTTTTTCTTTAGTTAGCATCAAGCTGTTTGCTTTTTGCAACGCATGAAGCTTGAGAGTTTCTCACGTAGTAGTTATGATGAATAAGAGTGAAAATCATGGTTAATAATGTTTTCGAAGTTATTAGTTATTATTTTGGTTTCGAAGTCTGTTTCCTATCGAAGGCACTGCCTCGCATCAGCTGGAGTCAAATTCCTTGAATTCTCCAGAGTCAATAGTCCATTAAGAAAGCCAAACTGTGTACTGGATAGGCGCAAAATTTTATGTCTGTATATTCCTGGACAGGTCTTTCAACGTGCTTAAAGTTTGTTGGAACGATCAAAGAAAATGAAATAACGAAAGAAGAAAAAACAGATCGCGCTTGTTGCGGAATCCGCTTATAAATTACAAAATGCACACTTTGGCCTCGTAATGTCGCACAAACTTTGAAATCGCGCCATTTTCCGCCGGGTTGACCAAAACTTCTTATCATACAATTTCCAAATATGAGAAACTTCTTGTCATACAATTTCATATATTTCCATAAGTACAGAAAATTGTAAGAATTCTCAATGATAAACATTTTTCCATATATGAAAATTGTATGATAGGTGTTTTTCCATAAAACAAAAAAAAATTTGGTTTTTTATTTCTAAATTTAATTTTTGAAAAAATTTTTGGGCTGGGTTTGTAACCGAACACAAGTGTCAAAGACCTTGGCTTACTCAAACATCAAAATTTGGACGGTCATGCATTTACAATGTATAGAAAACGACCTGAATAGTCTTATATTTCACAAATGATATAACGAAAGTAACAAATTTTAAAAAGTTGACAAAATTTTTCAACGATGATTAATTTAAATAAACATGCAAAGAAAGAGAATTTTCAGCGTTTCTGAAAAAAATTATAATGCAAAAAGGAACGCAAATCCAACATTAGTGTATCCAGGACTACGTTATGCACACAAAAAATTAAGTTTTGCATGCAAAAATATATTTTTGGAAATTGATTTTTTTTGCGTACAAAAATCGATATGTGGTTGAAAAAAAAAACAAAGAAATTTTTCGGACAATTTCAAAATTACTTGGAAATTTTTGTTTGTGTCGCCTTCGAAAAAAAAGCTAGTCATACAATTTCCATATATGAGAATTGAATGATAAGTATTTTTTTGAAAAAATGAAAACCTCGGACTTTTATCACTAGTTTGTTTTATTAGAACCAACCAGCCGCCGAACTTAGTTTATAACTTTTTTCAAACATTTTTGAAATTGTATGAAAATTATATGGCAAGAATTTTCCACACACTTGATGTATGGAATTGTATGATGGGTTTCTAGTACCCAGGACGAGGTGCTCGACTTATGTTCAACTTTAGCGAGTAAAAGTCTGTATGTTTCGACCGTCTCGGCCAAATTTTTTCGGTTTTTTTTTCTGCCCAGTTCAGACATATCGAACTTTTGGCTCGACTGTCTCGATATATTTATTTTTTAAATAGGACTGTCTCGACCGACCTATTAAAAACAATCGGCTTTTATTCGACCACGCATAGATATGTTTTGTCTTTCTCGACCAAAAGTGGGCATGCTTTGACTGTCTTGACTTGTTCTCAGTAAAAACACATCTGGTTTAGTTTTTTTATTTCAAAATTTGGACCTGAAAAACTGAATTTGTGATTAAGTGTCTTATAGGTTTCAATATCAATCAAAAAACTCACATAGTGAGAAAAATTCTGTAGCGCTTCCATAAAATTTTTTGTCAATGTTTTCCTGATACAGTTGATTTGAGGAAACAGTAACAAAAATGTCAAAAGAATCTACTCCACCTTTATTTCAACTAGGCTCGAAGAATGTTCTAACTGTGCTCAACTTATGTTTTGGTTGTTTTTGAACTATGTTTCGTCTCTGATCGACCTAAGTTTCGACCGTGCGTGATCGACTTACTCTTTGACTGTGTTCGAAGTATGTTTGGACCTTTTCGACCGTAAATGGGTATGTTTCGACTGTGCTTGACTAATTTTTTGACTGTGTTTGACCTAAATTTCGACTTGGCTCGACCTATGGTTCGGCTTTTTCGAATAAAATGGGTTTGTTCTGACTGTGCTCGACATGTTTTAACTTTCTCGACTTTCTCGACTCTCAAACACCATGAAGAATAAATTGACAAAAACTCAGAATGTACGCTTTTCGGTTGATTTTTTTGTGATGATGCTGGATTGAAAAAAAAAATTAAGAGCCTCAAAATTGCAAAGTTCTTTCATCGAAGACTAATTTTCTTAAGTTGAATCTTCCGATTTTGTTTCGGTTTTTTTTTCAAATCTGGGATGAAACTGCTGATATGAAAACTGTTATTAAAAAATTTTCGGTAAAATTTGTTTTTCTTGCCGTTGGAAGTCTTAGAACTTCAAAAGATAAAGGGATCCCTCTGACACGTCTTGTTTTACAGTATGCAAACATCCTCGATTGATAGTTGAGGGTTTCATTTTCTGACGGAGGTTTTTTCTGAGCAGATTTATATCGACACGGGTAACCATGAGCTTCTTGAGCAGACTTTTTTATGGGTCGAGTAGGAAAATAGTGAAAAAAAAGTGTTTGAAATTGATATTTTTAGGCACTAATGGGCTGTTTAGGTTAGAAAATTCTGCAAGTTTCAGTGGTCAACAATTTGAAATTGACGTTGCCATTATTGAGCTTTTAAGTCAGGGCATCATGTTAACGAGATGATCCACTAAAAGTAGATGTAGAAGGCTACTTTAGGGCTATTCACATTCGATTTTAACGACACTGCAAAGTGGTTCCTTGGTTAATGAAATCAGTGGGGCAACCGAGATTTACTACAATCAACAGTCCCCAAAGTGTTATGATGTTGTCAAGTATGCTCTATCGTACTACGCTGCGTGCTCCCTTTATCTCACAGCTCTTGAGGCTGTATCGTTTTTACTTGTTGTTGCCCGATTTTCTAATTTCAAAAAAAAATCAATAAATACAAATTCAGCTACAGAGGTCTCCAAAGTTGCCAGATTTTAATCTAGTTATCAAACCAAAACGAAAGGTTCCGCGATTCATCAACGCAACTGTTAAACTGCAAATCGATCTACCGCGAATTCAATTGATTGATTCTCCCCTAGAATCCCAATTGTCCATTTCCACTGAGTAATTCTACATATTTTTTAACTTTCTCTACAGTTCTTCATTGCATTGAGTTACCTAAACTGTTCTCTAACTGATGGGAAACAATTGTTCCTCACTCTCTGATAACTATTATCTAACTAGAGTGATTAATTTAACTACAGTCATAGTAATTGTTCTGATTAAGGTCAGGCTAATTGTTCGATTGATATCCCTTATTTTGTTTTTCTTTTAGGTTATAGTTATAGTAACAGTTCTGATCGTCCATACATTCCTGACGTTTATTTGGTACGTTTAATTGGAGTGAGTACCTTGTCTATTAGGGGTTCTATTGCACCAAACAGCCACAAAAAGCATATCTGGTGTTGAGTAAATATGACGTCCTTCCGTTTCAATTAGGTGACTTAATTCCCATGCTGTACTCCTACCGCTGTCATAGAACAAATATTCCCTCGCTAAATACTTTGCGTAAAACGCCTGTGACAGTAATTCCAACGCC